GGGCTCTGTGTTCGTCTTCTGACAACGAAATCAATGAACTTATTAAGTTCTGGGCGTCCATTTCGATGGAGGCCGCAGAAGCATCCACTGCTTGCTGATCCTGATCCCTATCCATTTGATTCGCTAGGGGGGGAACACAAAGCAGGAAACGCAGCGCACTGGCTACAAATCGCTAACCGTGTTAGCACTACACGCACTAAACAAACACGCTCCGTTTACTATAGGTTCGTTACCTATACGGCAGGTGTAGAACGTGCGGATAAAACAATACGCAGGTTGCTTTCAACGTGCGACCTCCTCTTTAATTTGACAGGTTGCCGATTTGCTTTTAAATCTGTGGGTTTCTAATGGTTTGAGTCACTCACCTTTCAGTAAGTAAGATTGGCTGGTTCGAAAGTGTGTATATGTGTATAGATGTGTGCGTGTGTATGTATATATGTGTAGAACACTGTTAACAAACCACTCTTGCACACAAAATGGATAACGCAGTGTTAGAAAACCTGGCAGAAGTGGTAAAAGGTGGCAGCAGCTGCACAATTAAACCTGAGGTTTTGTTTCTTTATACCTGCAGTTTAAGTTTAACCACTCTCCAATTGTTAAAACACTGTTTGTCCACAGCACAGAAAGCAATAGTGAAACAGCATGAAAGAAAGAAAAATAAAATTTAAGAAGAAAAAAAAAAAGGAAAAACAAGTCACTCCTTCTCTACACCATTCAGCTGCAATTTCAGAAGCCACCACCAGGGGGAGACAAGGTGCCTTCGCCTGGGAATTTTCAAACTGTTGTTGCAATATCACGCTTACGCCACCAGATGGCGCCAAAGAGAGCACTACACAATTTGGGTCTCAACCACTGGAACCAGCTGAGTAATTGTAATTACATAAGCTACCACTAGGGGGAGATGACAATCTCTGCCAACGTGGCCTACACTGACCCAGTCGCTGTGACTTTAAGAACCCTTTTGTGCTGCACCAATCCACAATTTGATCTCACGGCTTCAGAATAGCAGCAACCAACAAACAACGCAGCTGAAGTCCCAAATCACCAATTCTCTATTGGATTATAAGTCTGAGATTCAAATAACTGGCCGTTAAATCTACTCAAACCCGCTGGACTCCGTCACTGCAACACCACAAATACACCCGGTCTATTTTAGCAGTAGTAGCGCTTTTAGCTGTTTTTAATTTCTGGATGATTTATCTGTTATTCATATAACGGAAGTTTCAGTCTCAGGCCCACCCAGGGACAACGCCAATATGTTGTGCAAAAATAATGTCCTGCAGATAATGAATAGATGGTTAACTAGAACTGGAGTTATAGTTAATTATTATCCTATTCAGCATCAAAGGCAAAATCAATTTAGTGTTCTTAGGTGGATAACTATAGCCCTGAGTTATCTACTTACCGGTTGTTGATCCACAACTGGAGGGTTCCGGGACCGGCTGTTAAAATCCAGGTATCCACCAGTCTAGTGGCCCCGGTTAAGTTATCAGCAAAGCTATTAAATTATCAATAAAGAACCTTCTATCTCTGTTTATTCGCACTATTACCAAAAGGGATTGAGTTTGCTCTGAGTGATTAACCCTCCGTTATATGAACGACCAAAACCACTACAGATTAACCAATGATGTCTTTATTCTAATAATTCAGGATTACAGAAATCTAACATCTATGCAAACACTACACACTACTAGAAAAATAAACACGAGGTAGATTAAATGCATTAACAAGCAGCAGATGTAATGATAACAGTGCAATCGATCATGAACATTAATACATCCAGCTTAGTATTGGTAAATTATTGAACATGTATTAACAATAGCAGCGTTCAATGTAGTGATGTGTGTGAATGGTTGTGGCTAAATGGGGACCACCCCCCTTTGTTCTCCACGCGGTGAGGGGAACAAAGAGAAATGGGGGGGGGGGCGACCTGTGATCAAGATGGCGGCGACCACGGGACCCCACGTGGCTGAATGTGATAACTTTATCTCTATCTCAAAGCAAAAACAACGGAGGGGACAGGAAAGCCAAGAAAGAAAGAAAAAGCACACACTTATTTTAACCAAATAAACAAACCCTTAATCAGCACAGAAAAAAAAAAGAACATCAGCATTAATTAAAAAAAACCCTAAACTGCCTTTCTCTCGCCTGAGCACAGCAATTCTGATGCATCAAAAGAAAGTAAATTGATTTTACTGTGAGATGCGTCGTCCGAGGGAGGTTGGCGTTTCCACGGCAACCGCAGCTTGGTTTCTGTCGGGCAGCGCTTCTCTGCCACCGGTCCGCCCCTCGGGAAAGTTCAGTCAGCTCGGGCCGCAGCAGAGGGGTTGATCTGCTCACGAGTTGGAAGGGAGGGATTTCAGGAGGTGATCTTAGGAGGTGATCTTAGGAGGTGATCGGCAAAGAGCGTCCTCTTAGCCGATTGGTCCAAGGAAGGGGAGAACGAAACTCCGCGGTCAGCTTCAAAGGCTTTCTATCTCCCAGTCAGCGCTGTTGCTATGCACGATGGAACACTGCGATCCGTGACTTTCGATGCAGGAAAACGAAAGCTACTTCCAGTCAGCTTTCTTCTGATATTTCACGTGAAATGGGCCTCTCCTGACGGGCTGCAAACCCATGGAAAAAGAGGAAGAAAGTCTTCTCGAGCCGGCTTTTAAACCATGTGTGACACGGGAGCACTTCCTGTGGAAGTAACGGCTGATTTGTCTGTGCCATGAGTGACATGGTGGAACTTCCTGTTGGAGTATTCGGCTGATTGGTCCATTTGAGGTGGCCGCCTCCCGCAGTGGGCCGGGTCTTCTTTGTTCTTGTTTTGGAGGGAATCCTTTGTTCTCCCTTGTGGAGAAGAGAAGGGGGATGGGTTCCAGGTGGCTAACAAAGGGGGATGGTTCAGATGGCACACCCCACTGATTTAGCTCCATTTTGGCAATATATCCCAACAGAGAGAAGCCAGGTCCTTTCCTGAATATAACTTTGTCTTTCAAACAATAAGCTCATAAATCCAGCTTAAAATCATGGAAGCTTTTTCAATTCAAAATGAGATTTTGAATTGAAAAAGCTTCCTAGATGAGAAGTGCATCGTCTTCAAACTTGGAAACAAAGTCCAGTGGATTGGCTTTTTTTTTTTTTCTACTTTTTTGGAATATGCATCTACTAAAATCCTCTTACCTTTTCTCTTTAGCGTGCACAGAGTGACCTCCAGTGACCTCTAGGTTCCTCCATCCAGCTTTAAATATTTGAAAACAACTTCCCTTTCTTAATGGTTATCCGATTATTATTCGATTAATCAGAAAAATAATCAACAAGTTTGTTGCAGCACTAAAAACAACAGTCAAATAAATCCGGTTATTCACAACATACACAACATTCATACAGTTGGATTATATCCAATGTATACAGTAGATTTCATTGGACCTTTTAATACTAATTAATAAAGTGGTGACTGCACTGGGGAACACAGCAATTGCAAATTGTGAGCCAGCATGTGCCAACAAAGAGGAACAGAGAAACGCTCTAGCAGAAAATGAGTGAAGACTAGTTTGTTGATTCTGGCATTGTAAAGTTGCAGATTTAGAATAACCCTATTGGGGTCTGTCACCAAAAATAACTAAAATACCAAAGATCACAATAAGAAAAATTAGCATTCAAAAATGGTGGCTTCAATGGCATGTGTTAAAGTATAATTTTTGATTAAATGATGACAGAAAAACTTATTCGGTCTTTAAATTTAAAGAAATTGAATATATTTATTTAAATATATTGTGTTATTTAAAGGATCCAGGTCAATTCAAATTCTATATCAATGCCGACTTTCAATATGTTTTTATTACAGTTCCTATTGCTTTTATACTGCCATCAGTTTTCAAATGATTTTCTTTGAGTGTTTTTAAACTGTGAACATCCTTCTGCTGTAACAGCTAGTAGGGGGTTGTAGTTACACTCTTAGAGTTTTAGAGAAGTGAAAACAACTCAGAAGGACGTTCATAGTCAACTGGAAAAAACGAAGATCTGATAACTGTAAGTATCAGAAATATGTATTTATTACTTTTAGTATATCTTTGATTGAAAAAGATATACTAAAGGAATACTAACTAATATATATTTTGTTTTTCATTAAAAGCTTCGAGTTTTGACAAATTGTGAGACTGTGAGATAAGTCGCCTATGTGCGTGAAGGGTAAATGAACTGATGACATTTCCTGAAGGCAACAATTTTTATGCTTTCCTTGAAATCAGTTTTCTATATCTTTACAACAATTAAGAATAAATGCCAAAATGTTTTTAAACTTAATTTCAGCATTACGTGGGTCTCCATGTTTTAACATTTTACAGTCCTTCTCAATGATGCAGTAATTTATTAGCAAATTATTTTTATATTATTTTTGTCTGCTGAAAGTAATGTAGTCATGTAAATTATTTCATCCTAATGTTTTCTGAAATATGTATGGAAAGTAGGTTATGACTTCAGAAATATTACTTCAAAGATTTTTACACTTCAATGATATAAATAACATGATTTGCACTATTTAAATATATGTGTAGACCCCCTGTTTAATAATTAATTTTCCTTGTTTTAAGGCAGAATTCATATATAAGGGGTTTGGATTGTATATAGAAAAATACAAGTACAGGCAAAAACACTTTGAGTTTTGAAATACCTCATCATCCCTTTATTTTCATCTCAATAAAAAGCTAATTGTTTAAATGAAATTCTGTGTACTACCATTTATGCCAAGCTGACACACCTCATTTCCATTTCAGTCTGCAGAGACAGGGGAAAGCTGAAATCAACCTTGAAAATGTCCAAAAAAAAATATATGTGACCCTACTAAGTTACATTTTTCTGGTTACCTATGTACTTAAAATAGTTACTTCCATAGGGTACAGTTAATTGCAGAATTCAGAAACAAAAATCTTCTTGGATAGTTGTATAAATGATTGCTAAAAATAACTAATTTGTGTGTATGTCTGTCACTTGCAGATGATCAATTTTGAGGAACATTAACTGCAGCTGGAAAAAACATGACTGTCAAAGGAACTTTCTTTTTGCTTTGGAGATTTTTTTGGCTTTTGCTATACGTTAATCCCTCTATCACATATTCGCTGAAAAAATGCACCATAATATATCAGGAGAATTCATCCGCTGATGTTTTGGTGGATTGTGCAAACAGGAAACTTATAACTTTTCCTGATGATATCCCTAAATATGCTACTTCATTAGATCTCTTATACAATGACGTTAAAAGAATTAACAGGGAAGATTTAAGTGAGATGTCTAATCTGAAAAACCTGAATCTAAGAAGTAATGAAATTTCTCATGTGGATGATAGATCTTTTAATGACTTGACCTCATTGAAAATTCTCTCCATTCGTAGTAATAGACTAACCAACCTGACAAACAATATGTTTCAGGGCCTGTTCAACCTCACTGTACTTGACCTTCATGAAAACCAAATTAATCTTATTGAAAACTCTGCTTTAAAGTTTCTAATCAGCTTAGAGTTCTTAGATTTGAGTGACAATCAGCTTTGCAAAATCACCGACATTATACCTATCCTACAGCTACCGCAAATAAGGAGGCTTAGCCTAGATTGTAATCATTTTTCTACTTTTGAGACCCAGGACCTACCGATGAATCTGTCTTCAAGCCTAAATGAGTTGAAGGTTTCTAGTTCTAGCCTAGATTTTTTCAGCATAACAACATCAATCTTTCCCTTCCTCCAGAAGTTCGATGTTTCCAGATGTGGGTGCCCAGTACCAGCAAAGTGTGATGTACCTGACAAAGCTTTAGTTAAAAATATCACACAGCTTATCTTAAAAGCAGTGTCCTATGAATGCATTGAACAACTCCTCACAAATCTTTTATCTTTGCATCATTTGCAGTTAAGTAAAATGGAGGAATATATTAGAAAAGGACTGCTGTCAAAAGTCTGCAAAATAACAAAAGTTAAGAGACTGGATTTGTTTGACAATGATCTTGACAATTTCTCCACTGAGCTTTCAACATGCTATCAGCTCACAACACTGGATCTGTCAAAGAACAGGATAGCTGAATTACCAAAAGGGTCGATACAACAAATGGAGCTACTGCAGTCCTTAAACGTGAGTCACAACCTTCTTTCCAAAGTTCCCCACGATGTCCGAAGCCTTGCCTGCCTTAAAATCTTAGACTTGAATTCCAATCGCATCTTGGAGTTAACCTGCGAAGATTTTATGAACGCAACAAATCTTACAGAGCTTTACCTAAACGAAAACCGTATTGTCAAACTTGATAAGTGTGTTGTTCAAAATCTCACAGATTTAAAGCGTTTAGATTTGAGTAATAATCTGCTCCGGAAATTTGGAGACACATTTAAAGTTGCTTTAAAAAAACTGGAGTTCTTGGATTTGACAGATAGCCATATATTGTCTTTAAAGACAAAGGACTTTCAGAGTTTGGAGTCACTTAAGCAGTTAAATGTTGCTACATACTTTTTTACTAAGACGAAACCTAAAAAAGCTCTTTTACAAAAAGAACCTGTCATTCGTGGATTACAGCAGCTAGAAAACTTTACAATAGAATTCACCTATGAAGACGCTTTGACAGTTCCCAATTTAAGCAGTTATAAGGCTGAAAATATTCCTTTCAAGTCAATGAAAAGACTGACAGCTGCTTGTTTCGGGGATCATACCGGCCTTCCCTTCAACATACCAACAGAAATGCTTAATGGAATGGAAAATTTGGAGACTTTTACAGCTGTGAATATCTATGCTTTCCCTCCATATGTTGATATGTTTATGTTTAATACAAAACTCAAGAGTCTATCATTTGCCGAAACGGATCTGTCAAAAATGAATCCTGAGTTATTTCATCCAATCCAGAACTTACAGGCTTTGGATCTTTCCAATTCTAAGTTGATATCTTTGGATTTCCTTGTAAAGGCCAATCTTTCTGCTCTCAGATTCCTAAAACTGAGCAACAATGAGCTTACTGTGATTAATGAGACTGTCTTCCAGTCTCTCCCCTCTCTAACGTACTTGGACCTGAGCAAAAACCCGTTTACTTGTGATTGTTCAAATGCAGGTTTTATCAGATGGGCAAAAAGCAACAAGCAAACACAAGTGGCAAACACGCATCAGTACATATGTTCCTTCCCTGTCAACGAGCAAGGACATTTTTTACTAGATTTTGACATTCACTACTGTTTGAACAATGGCAGCTTTTTTTACTTCATTTCCAGCACTTTTCTGGTTGTTCTTACTCTCCTTATATCCTTCATCCACCACTTCCTGAAGTCGCACCTAGTCTATGCATTCTACCTATTCAAGGCCTATCTGTATGACAGTAGGAAGAGGATGAAGGAAGGCCCTCATAAATTTGATGCCTTTATTTCCTACAATGCCCATGATGAGGACTGGGTTTACAGCAAGATGGTTCCAGTGCTAGAGGGAGAGCAGGGCTGGAGACTTTGTCTGCATCACAGAGACTTCCAACCAGGTAAACTCATACTTTATTTCTTTTGTTTGTGTTATAAACCAACTGTATGTGAGAAAGACACATTTCGTAGATGGTATCACATGGAAAAATAAGAGCCAAATAAATGACAACCAACACTATGTGCTACAAAAAAAATTATATGGAAAATAACAGAAGTGCTTAATCTACATGATGTAACAAGAACAGATCAATATGTGCCATAATTTTCCCCAAATTAATAAAAACAAAACTGAGGACATTTTGGAGCAAAGGAGGTGAAATCCAGAGTTAGCTCACAGCTTCAGCTACAAAAGCTAGAAATCATTGACTATGGCCAAAATCTATGTGTCATGATGTATTCAGACCTTAACATTCCTTGGTGCATAAAGGCAGTGTTGTGCCTGAACGCGTTCATTGAACGAAAGTTCATGAACTCGTTCATATTTTGGGCGAACGTGAACTGAACGTACTGCATTATTGCCTGATGAACGTTATTGTGAACTCGTTCATTCTGGCGTCTGTGAACGGCACGCTCTCTCAGTTCAACTCCGTTCAATAGGTTGCCAGATTTCTATAAAGCCCTCCAGGCGAAACCCCGGCTAAATCACACCGTAAACAGGCCTTAATATGTAGCGGGAAAAACACCCAATCTGGCAACACCAGCTACCAGCGTCGTAGCCTACAGCCGCGTGCGTCATCAAAACAAAATTCAGCGTGGAAGCCACAGCAGCATGGAGGCGACTTAAAACAGTTTTATGACCAGGTGGTCGGTGAGGATGATGGCAACAAGTTTGCCCGCCGGCTTTCAGTAAAAAAATCCGCACTTCAGTAACCTTAAATTCCTACCTCAGCCTGGTCCCTCAGTTTGTGTTAGTAAAATCTTCTTGAGCGGAGGTCTTCAACAGGGGATCCGCGACCCCTAGGGGGTCTATGGAGGTACTGCATGAGGGTCTGCATGGTTAGTTGATATTTTTATATTCCCCCCTGCATTTTTTTTCCCCATTAATTGAAATGTCTTTAAATACTCATTAACATGAAATCAACACACTGTAGTAAACAGATAAATGGAGGCAGAAGATGTCTTTCAGTCATCAATGCTCACATTCAGAGACACACAGGAGCTCTTTCAAGCTGGGCACCGTTTCCTTCACAACACCTGTCCCATCAACCAGGAATCAGAATCAGAAAAACTTTAATAATCCCAGAGAGAAATTAATTTCTTTACATTACTCCATCTGTAATAGAGTGACTATAGGACACAATTTCATACAATATATATAGTTAGGGGGTCCCCGCTCCATCTCGCCATCAGTTTGGGGGTCCTTGGTCTGGAAAACATAGAAGACCCCTGTTCTTGAGGGTTTTACTATCCATGTAACTTGTTTGTTAAACCTGCCTGGTATAATTTTCCAGGATTCCAGTATTCCTTTTTAGTATGTATTGAAATGGAATTTCAAATGGAAAAAATTATAAAAAAAAAAAAAAAAAACATTTGCACCTTAAAGACTACTTTCCTATTTTTCTTTTAATAATTACTCATAAAAAAGACCATTCAAGCAGCACATTTTTCCTGATGTTTTTGAGAATATACTGTAGGGGTGAAAGCTGCAGCTGCTACTAGTGTGAAGTGAATGGACAGCAACAAAGCATTAAAGCAACAATGGGGAAATGCTGTCCCCTCAATGCTAATGTAAACCCTGGTTGGATAAGGATTCAAAGCTGGATATGAAGATTAAATCTGACGCACAGTTTCAGTGTTACAACTGATAAAATAATTGCTGTCTGTGGTTCTACAATAGGCTATGGTGTAATTGAGCAATATATGAAAAAAAAGAAAAAGAAAAAAAAGAACTATGAACTAGTTCGTTTTTTGGAATTGTGAACTATGAACTGAACTAGTTCATTTTAAAATGTGTGAACTGAACTTTGAACTAGTTCACGTAGAAAGAGAACTTTCCCAACACTGCATAAAGGTAGTTACTAAGTCCGTGTGTCGACCTCCCAGAACACTCAGATCTTCTAGTTCCAGGCTGCTCTGTACCCCAGAACTAGAACTAAACATAGAGAAGCAGCATTTATTTCCTATGCTCCACTTATCTGAAAATAACTTCCAGAAGACTGTTAATGTGCTGAAAGTAGTTCTTTTAAATCAATGTAAAAATGCATTTGTTTAAAACTGCAATTTTATGTTGTATCTTACAAGCATTTATTCTGCTTTTATTTACATCTATTTTATTGTTGAATTCATGTAAAGCATTTTGAATAGTCTTTGTACTGAATTGTGCTTCTCAAGCTAATTACTAATTAGTAACTGGCCATTTTGTAGCCCATATTAAATTATATATACCAAAAAATATTAGTTACCCAAAGAAAAACATAAATAAATTGAACCAGCAAACTATTCTGCTGACTTGGATCAGGTTGAATGATCTAAGTGTTGATCATTTAATTTGAGAAACAATTTATAATTGATACCTTTAATACTAAGTGTGATTTTACTGATGGGCTGGTGTGCTGCAAGGATTGATTCTAAAGATTGTTCTTGTTAAAGACCTTCTTCTGAATGAAAGTTGCAAGGAGGTCACTTTTGATCCAAACCTTAACATTCTTAAAGTGTATGGAGTTGCGTCAATGTTTCCAAATAGCTTGTCCAGTATCTGGTGTCCAATGGATGCGATTGAGGTGTAGAAAGAAGGATGGGGCGGACAAGAGGCTCAGGTAACTAACTCTAGGAAGACGTTGTTGTTCATCCTTAGGTTTGTATGACTGCATGAAGCTCAGCTTATTGGATAGTTGATAGTTGATGAGTGGATATCAGCATATGGAAAAGTGTTGCGGGCTAGATTCAAGAGTTTGCTGGTTGCATTTTGTCTTTAGAATTTAACTTGCTGTTGATGCTCAAAGAAAGGAGAACTTTGAAAAGCTTTTCTGTTGTTTTCATGGTTTTCAGAATGTGAATGTAGAATTACCAATAATCTGCAACTTTATTTTTCAACTGTCACAACAAACTAATAACTCCTGCATCTTTTACAGCATTAATAATTGCTTAAAAAATGATTAAATGTAATTATTTCACACTATTCACCAACAAAGTCCCACTACTACTTATTAAAGAATCCACAGTGATTTTTTTTTTCTTTTTTGTTTGCTAACACTGTGTGTTCTCATCAGTTTACACATGTATGGAGAAATAGACATGTTGGTGAAGCTGTATTTTAACATGTTTACACTTTCAAAAATACTTTTTATTGAAATAAATACTATATTTATATTAGATAGTATTATAAATTAGAATTCCACATATTTTACACAAAACTTGAAACCACTTTTTAATATTTGAATAAAGTAATACCTTGCTTTAAAAAAAAAATCTGATTAATGTCTGATAATAATTAAAGAAGAGCATATAATAGCAATATAACCTGCTTTTCTTTCATATCTATTTGTATGTTATGTGAACCATTGAGCAACAGTAAAGACTTTTGCTTCAGAAACAGAATCAGAGGACAAGTCAACTTGAAATGCTTTTTCATTGACATTTTAACACCAATGACATTAATGACTTGACCAATACAACATAACTTAAAGAAATGTATCAAAGTTATAGCATGATTCTCTCTCATTGCCTGTTTTCAACTGTGCTGTTCCACATGCTCAGCTTCTCTGTTCTCTTTTTGGATTCTTATCTGCTTCCTGCCATTTGTCTACTTCCTGTATCGGTGTTAAGCAGAGAATGCAAAAACATCATTAACATACATAATCTTTTTTTCTATTTAACCTTGACTAAAACAGAACATAAAAGAACAACCTACAACTGCCACATGAGTGAAGACAGGGCCTTTTATAGTAAAATGATGTGGAGGAATTAGGAAGAGGGAAATAAAAAGCTAACTAAATATAAATAAACTAACAAAACCACTTTGACACTAAAAGTAATTTAGATAGACATGCAGAATTTTTTTTTTCCATTGAATGTTCCAAAATATTACCCATATTTTTTCATTTTGGAAGTGAAAGAGTCAAGTTTTAGGAAGTTTTATTCAGGTAATGAAATGTGTTTTTTAAATCACCAGCAAAGTAAAAATTGTAAAGCGAGTGTTGTATGCAGAAGATAGTTCAAACAGAGGATGGGGATATTCCAAGAGTCCTGCATATTAGTATAAATATGTAGATTTTAGGATGAATGTGTATTAATGGCCAGTTAAAGGTGCAGTAGGTAACTTTTGAAAATATTTATGTTTTAAATAATTGTCAGCATGTCCTAAACGTAGAATATAAGATAGAAAATCTGTGGAAAGAAATAAGGCCCCTCAACCTCTTCTCAGATTCTACTGACTTTTGCAAGAATACACCACTCCTGATCAGAACCAACCAACAAGTTTACTGACTGCAGTGAGCAACAAGTGTGCAAATCCCTCCTCCAAAGCAATGACAGGCAGTCAGACTCAGCAGCTGTGCCAACAATCAGTGTTGCTGAACATTTGGCGGCAATGTGAAATCACGGAGCTCTTATCGTGTTCAGTAAGTAGTGAAGGCTGCTGCAAGCAACTCCAAAGCCCTAGTAGGTAGTCAGAGACAGCAGCAATTCGCGCCTGCAGTGAAAGAGAGAAGAATGACTTCACTCTGTTTCCCCCGTTGAAAGTTGTGTAAATATAACAGCTAACATGATATGTTGTTGTTTTGGGGCTTTTTTTTTTAAACTGTTGAAGTAAAATAGATTCTATCTGCTTTTACTTCATACAAACCCTCATCCACTGTGTGCCTCTGTTAATCGTCTTTAAGTCAAATTTGATTTTAAGACAAGATTGATTTAGTTTTGGTTCAGGTAAGATACTATTGAATAGATGAAAAATTAATTGAATTAATAAACTATATTATATATTATTTTGTCTACTCAATAGTAAGAATGTTTAATCACTCTGTCTTGCGGATGTTGACATTCCTCCGTCCTTCAGCTAGATCGAAGCTTGGCTAAATTTGGTCATGATGTAGTCTGGAAACTTCAAGTTATTTCTCTTGCTGATGAATTTGCAACAGTGCTCACATCCCTACCCTGCACAGTGCATAACATTACTAAAGCTCAAGATTGTTGGCTGATGTGCTGCAGCAGTGCACCTGTGTGCCAATGCAAGGGCCTTTCCTAATCAGTGACTACTCCCTCCCCCTACTCACTCTTCACTACATTTGTGCATGCCCACAGAGGGCTGACAAAATTAAATCCCATCTGAAACCGATCATGTGCAAGTGGCTTATAAGGCCCTCTACAGTGAATGAGGACCTGTTGGTCACTCAAGCAGCATGTGGAGCACGAAATTGTGTTCATCGTGAAGGACATGAGATATAAATGTATGTTCTGTGATGTGTTGTACACATTCACAAAGTAAAGAAACACCTCACCAACAAATCTAATTTCACATTTCACAGCATGACCATCGTTACAATCTTAAGGGTTTGGTCTGCAGCAGCTGGTGTATCATGGCAATAGTCACAGCCAGAGCTTGGACCTTTGCAATGGTGACGACAGCTTCCTATTCCGGTTATGTGAGGAAAGGCCATCTCAAAAGCAAAGGATGCATTCATACCCTCTAGAGCCATCAAAGGGACTCAGATTAGCGTTGAGGGTGCTTCACAAAAAGTGTAGAGCATAGTGAGTAGGGGAAGGGGGTACCCACTGATTGGGAAAGGACCTAAAGCTTAACATTGATGTTTGGTCCCTACCAGCTCATGTGCTATAGATGTTTTTCTGCCATGATTGTGGCCTTCTACAATTTGCTTTATCCTGACCTCTGACTAAGTCAATACAAATTGCAGAACAGTCAACTTGAAGTCTAAATCAGATGTAATTAGGGCATTTTTAAAGATAGGTAAAGGAACAATCAACTTTACATAAAGAGTTAACTGTATACAATCATGGTTCTGTGTCTTCCTTTTGTACAAAGCAAATAGTGTTTTATTAATGAATTTGTGTTGCTTTTTTAAGAGCAAGAACTTCTGTTTTATGACTTTTAGTTAAGTGTTGATTTTGGGCAGACAGATTCTTTCAGATCTCATCAGCAAGGGTAGTTTTTCTAAACATAGTCTTGATAATCATCTTTTTTGTATGTTGGTGTTTAATTGAAAACAAGAAAATTATCTCCAGCAAACAGCTAAATTTCTGTATGTTTCATATCTGCAGGCAAACCCATCTTAGATAACATCACAGAAGCCATATATGGCAGCAGGAAGACCATCTGCGTGATCAGTCGACAGTACCTTCAGAGTGAATGGTGCTCCAGTGAGATTCAAATGGCCAGGTGGGGGTGCTGTTCTTCAATACAGTATTTTAAGGAGGTCAACAGGAGTTAACGGAATAGTACACCCAAAACATGATTAGCCTTCATTTTCTACTCACCCCCATGCTGAACAACACTCTGGAGTACTTTTTTGATATCTCAAATGCATCTGGAGATCTGGGAGGCTTCTTGCTGTCTGCTGACATTCAAATAATGGAGGTCTATGGCGCCCGAGACAGAAAGGTCCATAAAAGTCCACAAAAACGTGTCAATATTCCTCCATACTGCTCGTCCAATGTATTCCAAGTGTCCTGAGTGGGTAGCATCCAGAATTTACTCGAAACGAAGTCATTTAGAATGTTTTTAGAGCATAAACAGTAGTGTTTAGGATTTCCTGAAAGCGCGCTCACGACGCTACGGAAGCCGGCAGACCAAACCAGCGCATTCAGCTCGGCAAAGAACTCATGCTCTTCCTCAACACTGAAGTCCTCAGACATTTTTCTTTCGTTGTTTCTTTCTTTGCACAGGTAAACAGCACATTTCTTCTTCTACGCTTGCATTATTGGCAGAGCAGATGCTGAATGCGCACTTTCATCTGGTTTGGTCTGTCGGCTTCCCTAGCGTCATGAACGCGCATGTGCGCGCTTTCAGGAAATCCTATACACTACTGTTTATGCTCTAAAAACATTCTAAATGACTTCGTTTCGAGTAAATTCTGGATGCTACCCACTCAGGACACTTGGAATACATTGGACGAGCAGTATGGAGGAATATTGACACGTTTTTGTGGACTTTTATGGACCTTTCTGTCTCGGGCACAATAGACCTCCATTATTTGAATGTCAGCAGACAGCAAGAAGCCTCCCAGATCTCCAGATGCATTTGAGATATCAAAAAAGTACTCCAGAGTGTTGTTCAGCATGGGGGTGAGTAGAAAATGAAGGCTAATCATGTTTTGGGTGTACTATTCCTTTAAACACCATTAGCATCTTATACTGTAATAAATTAAAACACATTTTTTATGGCCAACACTGTCTCTATGTTTCCAATACTGACTCATTTAAAGATGCATTTCAACAGTGACGTGCGGTCAGGGGAGGCAGGTGAGGCAGTGCCTCACCAGCCATCATGGAAAGAAAGAAAATATATAATCATAAAGTAATTTAAATTGTTATATTCATCCGGTGGTTTGTACTAAAAAATATTCATTTTTCATGTAGCTTCACCAATTTCGATTTTTATTTGTTCAAAATCGCTGAATTTTCTTATTTTCCCATTCAAATGCTTGGAAGCGATGCCGGTGAGGCAGCAGCGAGCTCTGCCTCACCTTGGATTGCGCAACCCCTGGCTCTGCGCTGGCTGCAAAGCGGAGAGAGCATGTTGCTGTACGGCGTCAATAAAATGGTTTAAACAAATGTAATATGTGAACTTATTTCTAATAATTTGGCTTATGTATATAATGTACAGAGCTTTTTGTCACCAACTGTGTTTGTGTAACGTGTTTCGTGTAATGAGCGATTATAAACGGCAGAGAACAAGTTCGAGGTGAGGCAGGCAGTTCTCTTGCCTCATGGCAGGGGGTGCTCAAGAGACTGAAAACATAAGGCAGGAACAGGACGGATCAAGGAAGGCTTTCTTCCCTGGCAGTGATCTCCATTGAGACAGAGAGACTTTTAAAACTGAAGGAAGATAAGGAGGACTTCTATTCATTTATAAGTAAAGGTAAGACAGTAATAACATTTATTTTGTTTTGTTTTTTAAGGAAATGTGTGTTTTGTGAGCTACAGTTTGTATGTGTAAGGATGCAGAAGTGAAACATAACATGTAAACTGCTGTCAATCTATGCATCTATTTGCAAATCTGATTCTGATGACGTCAGTGCCTCACCAGCTATGAACCTCACCGCACGTCACTGCATTTCAATATTTTTGATTATTTTTCAAAAGTCATACATGCATAATTTTTAGATAGATTTAACATGGAGCATGATTGCAAGAATTGTCTCCACCATACTTTTTCCCCAACTTAACCTTATATTCATGTGTTTAACTTATAATAAAAAATAGGCACATCAGATCGCATACTCATTATGAACTCAATGAAGGCTTTATATCATGTAATACAACATGTTATACAAATCCATCACAATAAAATCAATGTGTTAATAGAGTACAATAATACAGATGTGCCAAAAGTGCTAAATTGGTGATGTACATATATTATACATGTATTTAATATATTGTTACGGTAATGGCATGCAATACATGTCAGCACATGACTTTTTCAAATGAGAAATACCACAAACACTTCAAAACGACAGCATCATCCACTTAATAAGGGATTACTACATTGACATTTCACAGTGAATTACTTTCTATTTTCTCTACTTTGTATTTTCTTACTTGAGAAAAAATGTCAATGGCTAATTTTGTCAATATCTTCGAGTCAGTCCAAGATAGTCAGACTAATGTTACTCTACATGCTATACTATAGGATTCAATGGCTTATATGGATTTTCTTGGTTAGTACATTCACTGACTGTAAAATTACATGTGGAACGTCTTCCTACATCCGCCAAACTGCTTGCTTTTACAGCCATAAAAAGATGCTGAATTATAGACTGAAACTGCTTGTCATGCTTAAAATCATTGTAATAAGGTGTGAATAATTCAACATCTACTTTCTTTCACCTGTTTTTTTCCGTAGCTTCCGTCTCTTTGATGAGCAGAAGGATGTGCTTATCCTGCTGTTTTTGGAGGAGATCCCTAGCCATCATCTGTCTCCGTATTACCGAATGAGGAAGCTGGTGAAAAGATGCACCTATCTGAGCTGGCCTCAGGCTGTGCAACACCCAGGAGTCTTCTGGCAAAATGTCCAGAGAGCTCTGCAAACAGGGGATGTTCTCACTGAGAACAATGACCTGCTGCCCGGACCAGGAGGCTGCTGAGAGAAATAAAGGACCAACAGTGTATCATGAGAAACAAAAATAACTGAAGTAAATGAGGAAATAATCCCACTGTCAATTTGAAGAAACCTACAGTATTTAAAGCAGATAATATTAGTTAAGAAAACCATGCCAATGATTGCACATGTTTATTATTAGCCTTTTAGATTATATTAGCTTTAAACAAGTATTTGTTTCATAAGCAAAACAGAAAGCTAAGTTGTAGAGTTTGAAAAAAAAATATAAAGATTGAATATCAAATTTGTAGAGGAGCAATAATGCCACCAGTTGGGATTCATTAATATAGAAACCTTTCTGATTCAGGGCTTGCTTTGCTATTAGAACCCTTAATCCAAACAGTTAGGTAGCCTCAACATCTTGAGGATAAATATTATATCTCATTGAGTGTTTTTATATATTTTTTATAAAAATAAAAAAGACATATAATATTTATAACATACTTTTTAACTATTTAAAAAAAAAACACACAAAAAAAAACGGATGTTGGATTTTCTTTCTGTTCCTCTCCAAAGTACCAGTGAAGGATCAACAGCTCCTCCCAGTGTTTATTTCTTACCAACACAGGGCATGTGCAGAATTGGCTCACAAATTATGCTGGTGAGATATTCTTAATATAGAGATGTCAAAAAAACCGAACCCTGTTTCTTGCAATGTTCATATCAATGAAATAGAACTTTGTTTTCCTTTACTGACACAGTTTAAGATGTGTATTTCAGAAATGATCATGTATGATAGTCTGTACTGTTACTTTACATTAAAAAGTTCCTTTATTATTGGAAACCAATGTGACAGTAAAAGAAATAGCTGTGTAAAGAAGTGAGACCTGAACAGCCATCACTGCTCAATTTGAAAATTTTAGAATTTACTATTCAACATGAAGTCCTGCTCTTATGCACGTTGATTTAAATTCTTCTCTTTGTTTTATACATTTTCCAACTAACCATTCAAGTTGCATCTGGGAAACTTTAATACTACTGAATTTAATTTTGTAAAACAAAATTATAAAAGTATCGCTTTATCCTGTAGAAACAGTGCCACTTAGGAGTCATGTCTGTTATTTTATCTGAAGCTACAGTATGTTGGAGCTCTAGAAACTGGCCTGCTCTTGATAAACCTTTAGTTTAAATCAGTGGTAAACTTTTATTGAATTTTACCTTTAGTTGTCAGGTTGTAGCCTAGTTTATGATGCTTAATCAATATTTTGTATAGCTTTTTAAATTAATCATTGTTAGATTTGAGTTAAATTGAATTATTGGTTTCAGTGATCGCTGTGTTTTGCAATTGTTCTTTATTCTTTAAGTGTGTCGAATAATTGTAATGTTGAGTCATAATAAATATTATCAAGAAAGATACAGAAACCACCTGGTTCTTCATTTTATGCAAAAGATTTCTCAATGGCCAAAATTTTAACTCAGTGCTTTCAACTGGAGGATTTTTGAAAAGACCTGGCCTCTCCCCTGCAAATGCACAACCCTATACCCTTCCCAAAAGGGAACGCATATTAAACGCGTCTGAGAGTGTGCACAAGCCCATTTCTCCTCATGCATGCTCTGTTTAAAAGTTGCTGTTTGCATCACTTATACAAGCTTACTTTGCAAAAGAAGATCTGCAATTTTTTTCACTATGTCAGACTCACCACTGGTAAGTGTAAACGGAGACGAGCACGTTGGATGGCCTTACGTAAACATATCACCAGAATGATTGACAAATAGGAGGACCACTTATTTTAAAGATCCACCAAAAAAAGAAAACCCTTCACTTTACCTTTAAGCTTATAGTTCTGACTGGTTTATGAACATATAATTATAACAAATGTAACTTTTTTTTTTACCGTATAGATCTAAAGTGTCCGAGTATACGATTGCATCAACATTGTATTTGTTTAAAACAGTAAATGCTTTGTGGTCACCACCTCCTAACCTCTGACCATGGCTGAAACCTGCTCTGTCTTTTTGACTTCGGAAGCAGAAGTGAAATTTGTTGAAGCAACAGAATAAATGAATCTGAAAATAAACATTTACTGAAAAAAAGTATGAAATTGATTATATATAGTTCCTGATGACAAGATAAAAAGAAGGAACAAGATATTCAAAAAAATTATTTTTTGAACTTTTACGGAATGACTATGACCTGGATGACTGAGAATCTTCATCAGCATAAGGAACAAGATATATTAGCTATAATGTGAACGTATTGGATTCTTACCCTTCTTCTTATCAGTTAAGTTTGTGTAATTCTGATATGAGTCACTTCATTAAAAAATCACACTGTGTTTCATTTAATAAAGCTTTTTTTTCTTTAGTACCGGTATATATATATATATATATATATATATATATATATATATATATATATATATATATATATATATATATTATTGTTAAATTTGAGTTGTTTGAGTGTCTTTCCACTGCTTTTTCAAATTGTATTTGTTGATGAGCTGCTAGTCTTAAACGTTTAAAAGTATCCTTGCAAGCACCCTCCTCTACGCTGTTGTCTGATGGGCCCCTGGCAGTGCAGAGCGGGACACAAAGAAACATATGAGGTGAGGGATCATCTCTCTTCGCAGGATGATTACCCCTTTTGTTATTCCAGCCGAAGATCTAAACCAGGAATATCTTTCTTGTTGAAATTTGTCCTCATGTAAATCTTGTTAATGTGGATTACGTTATTTTTCCGGACAACCTGTAAACTTCAGTCTGTCTCTGATCTTCATGGAAAAGGTCTCAACTGTGTCCAGCAGTCCTCAGTCTTCATCACCTCTCTCCCAACTCTCCAGCATGACCTCTCTTGCAAGTACCAAAGTTTTTGGATCTCCCTCACATTCTGCTGCACCTCTGGGGTTCAGTCTGCAAAGCCCAGTGAATCAAACGCATACCGGTCGATGCTACCTCCCCTTTATCTCTCACGTAAGCAAATCCATCAGTCATCAGTTGTCATGAACCAAATCCTTCCTGATCAGCCTGCCTTCTCCCCTCAGACCAATTACAAAGTTCAACTCACTTCCTGCAGTTCACTGCTTCCATATTTTTGTTGCTTTGTAAATAAAACGTTAAAACTCATAGATTATTCGTGCATTTGATTAAAAAAAAACTACAAACATAACATCTGCGAAAACCTGGTATTTTACAGCAGTGTGTCAGCTGTTGGGATTTCATGCGGGTGAAATGTCATCCATTTTGTAAATAGGGTGATAAAAAAAGAGTAAAACCTCAGACGTTCGACTCACATTACTTATTAGATTAATAATTGTTTGAAAATGATGCTTTTGTTTTTATCATTCCTTTTCAAAGTGCATTGTTACTAACAGCAGCCTGTGTTGTTCCTCTTTGGTCTTTTATCCGCTTCCTGTCACACAGAAATCTAGCGGAGCAAGGAAAGGAAAACTAAGCATATTTTTGTGAGGTGGGGGTCTTCTCCTGAAGTTGATCACCATCGTGAACTCCACGTCTTCTTATTTTTATTTTTTTACAGGGAAGTCTAAAGTGAATAGAACTGTTCTGTCAGTTTTCATTTCTCCATTTAGGCTACAGAGATTGAACGTAAAAAAAAAACACGAGGAACATCTGTGAGTATCAATTACATTTCTTAATTTCAGATAAACTGAAAAATCTAATAAAAGTATATTGTTTCTGTTTCTTTAAAGAAAAAAGTTTTTTTGATTGTAAAGCTTCTTGTTAGTCTTGAATTTAAACTGTAAGAAAATTCAAAAATGATTTATGTATAATTCAATTGAGTCTGTTTGGTTTGGAAACATTTTAGTTCAGTTAATTTATATATGCTGGTTAAGATTCTTAGTCATCCAGCTCATAGTCATTCCAAAAAATAAAAAATAAAAAACAATCCACTGGACTTTGTTTCCAAGTTTGAAGATGTTTCACTTTCCATCAAGGAAGCTATTTCAATTCAAAATGTCAGAAATTTTGTCAAGTTCCAGGCTCCATTGAGTAGCCAATAAAAACCTTGCTTTTGTTTTAAAAACATGCAAATAGAAACACAGGAAGGGGTCCACCACTTTGGAATGTGGATCGTTTGGCTTCTTTTGTTAATTTATATCTCACCAATTAACCAATCAAGGTAATGTACGGAGACAATCAGATCATACGGTCAGATCGGTAAAAGGTTTTCTATCTAAGGAAAACCAAGTGATTGCATCGAGTCATTGACTTTGCAGGACAAACTGCTCCTGGATGAGCATGTGGTGAAAGTACGTATATATTTGCTTGCATTAGGTGATTGACTTATTGACGAGCCCCTGACACCAAGCATACAGGAATTAAAACTTTATAGGAAGAAACCTCTAGCTGAACCAGGCTCGGTGTGAGTGGCCCTGTTCAAAGGGCTTCTGGGGTTCAAGAAATGAGAAGTGGAAATGCAAGAGGAACAAGAAGCACTGATCCAGAAATGCTTTCAGTTTTAGAAAAGGTAACAGTATGCTCCCAGAACAGTATGAGTTCTTTGACACTGCAACTTTAAAGAAGGAAGAAGTGAGCAGCAGCAGAGTGACTTGTTTTGCTTGGGGATTTCCCTTTATTCTTCTTTCCCTTATACATGTTTTAAACTGTTGTGGTGTTGTTATTATCGTAGAATAACATTTTTTCGATAAATCATGTATGTATTATAAACAGTAGCTATCTTTTTATTTATTTTTTCTTTTGCTTTCAAGTCCAATGTAAATTGGCTTTGGAGGGTGGGCATTATAAGCTTCTTGCTTCTGCCAATACACCTTTTTTCAGACAGTTTTAGTTTATGTTATATGGACATATACTGTCCTTATTATATACTTGTATGTCTGAAATAAAATTTGTTACTAATTTGTGATGTTTAATCAGTTTCTGAAAAGTTATGTTGGCCATACTGAATGGCTTAGCAGTAAGCTTTGATATCATACATTTTAGTTGCAGAGCTCTGTTTATTAAATCATCTCTGGCAACCTTTCAAAAGTTCAATTTGAAATGAATTGGAATTTGGATCAACTGTGTTTCCTAGAAAATTTAGGCAGCTACATCTTTTTGATGGAATATCATAGCTACCGTACACCAAATTGTTTATACTTTCTCGTGGATGACTGATCATCCCATTAGTGAACTTTCACCAGTTCAGATTTCTGCCACAGCAGAACTCAACCATGTCCAGGCCTGTTTACCTTGTCGTGTTGTAGCATTACGTATTTCTACATATTACTAGCATGACGGACAGCTCCCATGATCACTACACAAGGTGGAGGGCACTGAGCCATGAGGAATATAATTAATGCGAAGTATTTGAAAGTATTAATACCCTAGTGCAAGTTAAAATATTCTTTCACAAAAAAAGAATATTTAGATTGTATACGATCAAATCTGTAAAGTGACCAAATACGCTAGCAATTATTTAGTTTGTGTTATATCAGATATACGCAAATGTCATTGCTAAATTGTATTTTGGATTTGTGTCTTTTTAGTCAAGAAATTTAATTGGTGTTGTCACACCATGTGGTGTTTTCACATTTTTAAGTATCTGCTCCTGGTAATTTATGTCTCTATTTCTGTGCTGTTATTCTCATTTACTTTTGCAAAAAGCATTAAAACCTTTTTTAATAAAGGCAGTCATACCTTCCCTTTGTAAATTAAAAGGTTAGTCAGAATCTTTCAAGACATTTTATTACCCTTTCAGGATTTGCCTTCAAACCCTAATTCCCGGTTGCTCTTCTGTTGTAACTTATTATTATATTGATTGATAATTAAAATGTATTGTTTATTGTTCTCTACAGATGATTTTCACAGAACAACTTCATGAGGCTTTCATAAACTGGATAATATGGCTGCTGCAGGAAGTTGGTGTTTACACTTTATTCTAGGACTTTTCTGTTTCTTTCTTCATATTAACCCCTCTCTGACTTTTTCACTAAAAAACTGTGTAATACTTTATCAGGCAAACCCCTCCTCTGGTGTTTCTGTGGACTGCACTAACGGAAAACTTGAGACTCTTCCTGAAAAAATCCCAAAAGACGCTGTTTCAATAGAATTCCGAGGTAATCTGCTTCAGAAAATTAAAGAGGAATTCCATTACATGTATAGGTTGAAATACCTGGGTCTGCAGAATAATGTCATTAGTTACGTGGATGATGGATCTTTTATTGATTTGGTTTCTTTGAAAACGCTTATCATGAGACATAATGAGCTCTTCTCCCTGACAAGAAACATGTTTCAGGGCTTGTCTAATATCATGATTCTTGATCTAAGTTATAATGGTATTGGATTTATCCACAACTCAACTTTCCAGTTCCTTACAAGCTTAAAATATTTGGATTTAGATCACAATATGCTCAAAAACATTGCTTACATTCGGCCCCTGATTCAACTACCACAAATACAGACCCTCAGTCTTAGATGTAATGACCTGTCTTCCTTTGAAACCAAAATGTTGCTGCTAAATGAAACCTCCAATTTAGAACAGCTTATTATTTCTGGTCAGTACCTGAAAAAGTTCAGCATCACAACACCAATCTTTCCTTACCTTCAGATGATAGATCTATCACATTGTGGGATTGGATTGAATGAGCTAAAATGGGAAATATCTGACAAAATGTTACTGGAGAATGTAACACAACTTTTTGTTGAGGAGGGTGTGCTTTCCTTCAAAGACATGCTAAAAGTCCTAAAAAATCTGATCTCATTGAGACATCTGAGAATTAATATGGTATTTGAATGGATAAGGGAAGGATTGTTCCCCTCTGGCTGCAAACTGAAATCACTGAGGAGGCTCGATTTGTTCCAGAACAGTCTGGAAGACCTGACTTTAAAACTTGGGCCATGCTCTCAGCTTACAGAGCTTTACCTGCAGGAAACTAAATTAAAGGAACTGCCAGAAGGCACTATACATTCTTTGAAAATGCTGATGGTCTTAAAATTAAGCAGCATTAACCTCAACAGGGTTTCATATGACATTAGGAGCCTGACATTCCTTAGAATCTTGCACTTGGATAACAATTACATCTCAAAGTTGAACTGTGAGGATTTTGAGAACACAACACGTCTTACAGAGCTTAATCTGAACACAAACCAAATTGCAAATCTGGATAAATGTGTCTTTGAGCATCTTGCTGAACTAAAACATTTAGATCTGAGTTATAATGAACTGCGGTCATTTGGAGATACATTTAAAGTTTCCCTGCATAAGCTTGAGTTTTTGGACATTAGTGAAAATGACATAAATGCACTAGAGGAAAATTCTTTTGAAGGTTTACGGTCCTTAAGACATTTAAAGATGGCATCTGATAATGTACTATTAATGCAAAATAACACATTTCCTGAAATGAGAAACCTGGAGGACCTAAATGTATCATTTCCATTGGGGCACAAACCTGACCTCCAAGGACTGCAGCACTTGGAAAACCTTACTGCTTACTTTGGAAAAGGGTTTACTTTTAGAGATGCTTATCCAAATAAAAATGGCAATATAAAGAATCTAACATTGTTAAAACGTCTTACAGTGACTAGCAGCCAATATTACAGCACTTACCTCAAAGAAGCTATGAAAATGCTACACACAATGACTTATTTGGAAATATTCAAGGCTGTTAATGTCTATCAGCAAGCTCCAGATGTTGATACATTTCAATTCAACCCCCAGCTCAAAAGTCTGACATTATCAAACACCGATATGTCTGATTTGAAACCTGAGCTTCTTCGACCAATCCAAAAACTGCAGAGCTTAGATCTTTCTTACTCGAAGCTGAAGTCTCTAAATTTTCTGGCGCATGCTAATCTTTCTGCACTCAGATATCTGAAACTGACCGACAATGAGATTCTTACAATCAATGAGACTTTCTTCACTTCTCTAACCTCTCTAACATACTTGGACTTGAGCAATAACCAGTTCACCTGTGACTGCTCAAATGCACTTTTTATTATATGGGTAAAGGACAACAAGCAAACACAGGTAGTAAATGCTCATCAGTATGAATGCTCCTTTCCTCCAAATAAACAAGGCACATTGTTGCTAGATTTTCAGGTTCAATCGTGCTGGGAGGAACCCGGCTTTTTCTGCTTCATCTTCAGCACTTGTCTCGTTGTTCTAACTCTCCTTGCATCCTTGCTCTACCGCTTCCTGAGGCAGCGACTGATCTACACATTTCAACGCTTCCTGGCCTTCCTCTACGACACCAGGAAGAGAACGAATAGAGACTCTTATCAATACGATGCCTTTGTGTCTTACAATGCTCACAATGAGGAATGGGTTTACAAAGAGATGCTTCCGGTGTTGGAGGGAGAGCAGGGCTGGAAACTTTGCCTACATCACAGAGACTTCCAACCAGGTAAGCTCTGGATTTATCTCTGGTCTTTCTTGTCTTGTCTAATAAGTCCAAATAAACATGTAAGAAAAAAAAAATCTAATTCACATTTTCTTTTAGTTTTGGTGAATATTTAATTTTTTTAAGGGAAACAAAAATACAAGGGGAAATGAGTTAAGGTGATAAGATTTCAAATTAATTATCTGTCATTTGTACTTCTTATACAAGGCTTCATGTATCATGAATGGATCCTGTTTAAGTTCACTGTAATTTACAGATATGACACTAGAATGACTAGATTAAAAGTACTGTGCAAAGGTTTAAGGCATGCTTGAAGACATGCTGATAATTTATTCCAGACATACTAATTAAATCTAAATTAAACTGATAGCTTATGTTACTACCCTATGCTTGTAAAGTAATATACTCTGCGCTACTTCAGGATATTTGTCAGGTCTATGATCATCCATTGACACCAATCAAGTGCTAATGCTCATGAAAGTGACATGAAAGTTAAAGCAAAGGTATTTACTGAAACCGAAAAAAGCTGTGTATGAAGATTAAATCAAGTTGTTGAACAGCAAAACTGCATTACCAATGTTAGGTGGCTCAGTGCAGTATAGGAAGACAACAAAACACAAGCCAGTCACACTGCATCAACAAAGAAGTCTCTCCCAGAAAAGTTTTTCAAAGTAGAATGTTTTAAGATATAATGTTTACTGTAACATTTTTAAAAATGCACAAAGGAACATAGAACATAGTGATAAGACAAGGAAACAGATGTCTACAAGACTAAACAGATGAAAGTTACATCAAAACCATGTAATGTGTTTTTCCTTCAAAGTCTTATGATGTCCAGTATAAGGCCATCAACTTACAACAGGAATAATTCAGTTGGACTCAAGTACATTCATCTACTGTCTGAGTATGTCCAGCAAGAGGTAGTCTTCATAGAGGAGTTGAAGCCAAAAAGCCAAATATTGGACAGTTAAACGAGGAAAGGGGACTTAACTATGCACAGAAACATTGTTGGGCTACTGTATAAAACCACGTACTCAACGCTATTCCAGACATTTAGAATTGAAAAAGCTTCTTCAGTGGGAAGCAAAATGTCAAAATGGAAACAAAGTACATAAGAACTGCGATGAAGAAAGATAGCAGCAGTTTCTCTCAACTAATGAGTAAAAATTGGAAGTATTTATGTGTAAAAGAAGCAAGGCTGCTTGCCAACTGGCTGGAGAGTGGTACAATACATGCCTGCAGGCAAGAGTGAAGCATTGTGGATGTTCTAATTGAGTTTAGGGCTTAAAGGCAGGAAAGTGGATTATGTGGTGGAAGATGTCCAACGGCTGTTTGTGCTGCATTTGCACAATTGCAGTCTACTTTTAATCATGTACAAACATTTCTTATTGAATTAAAGTTGGTACTGAATGCTAAAAAACTAAAACAATGACATTTACACATTCACGATCCTCACCTAACATTAGTGTTTCAACACAAGATGGCACTAAAATAGAAGGAGTATCATCTTACAAGTATTTAGGCATCTGGTTGGATGATAAGATGTCCTTTGGTGTCCATATTGAGAGCCTCTGTAAGAAACTTAGACCAAAGTTGGGTTTTTTCTTTAGAATGAGGAAGTGCTTTCCCTATCTTGCGAGGAAAAGGCTAGTTCAGAGCACATTCCTGTCAGTGCTTGACTATGGCGATACACTGTATATTCACTCCAGTTTATTCTTACTTAAAAAACTGGATGTACTGTACCACTCTGCCTTACGTTTTATCACAGGTGCATCAGCTAGGACTCACCACTGCACTCTCTATGAAACTGTACAGTGGTCTTCTCTTTACATGAGGACAAAAATTCATGTACTGACTTTTATTGCCAAAGCCCTTATGGGTAAACTACCTTTATAAATTTTTAATTTACTTTCCATTCAAGATAGTATTTACAGGACTAGGTCATCAGAAAAAATACTTTTACATACTCCATTTACAAGAACTGAACTAGGAAAAACAGCATTTTCATCATTTGCACCTAAAGCATGGAATGAACTTCAAGCCACTTTAAATCTTGAAGTACTTCCATCCATAAATTCTTTTAAAGACCTGTTAAAATCATCATTAACTGACAGATGCAACTGTTTTTGATTGGATGCCTTGTTTGCTGTTTGCTTTTTGGTTGTATGTGTATGCCCAATCTTGTGTTGTGTTTAATTTTGCCTAGATGATATGTATCTGTGGTTGTCTTGTCTCCTGTGGTTTTATGTTAATGTAACTTTTTAAGCCGCCTTCTTGGCCAGGACTCCCTGGAAGAAGAGTTACTTTAACTCAATGGGACTTTCCTGGTTAAATAAAGGTTAAATAAAAAATAAAAATAAAAATCTATGCAGAAAATGCCTCCACCGATAATTTTACATTTCACCTAGAGAAGCCGTAAAGTGTCCAAACAAGATGTCCCTGCCTTTATGTTTTTGACTGTACATATTTTAGAATTAAAAAAATTTAAACAGTACTTACTAGTGAATTAAACTTAATTTCTGGCCAGGGTCTATTGATTTTAATATTTTTTGTGCAAGAATGCCAGCCATCAATTAAATAATTTTCGATGAATCTGAACACTTAATCTCTAAGACAAATCTTCTTTCATACCTTTTTTTTATCGGATTAAGCCGCTAACAATGGGCTTTTGGCTCTTTTCCCATTTGAGTGAAAAGCCAAGTGTCTAACCCCCTGATGGCAAGCTGCATGGCCACTGTCCCCCACCACTGCATGTCTGATGATGACATCACACTGGGTGAGCTTTGCTGCTGTCAGCAGTGAGATGGAGATCTGAAGTAAATAATGGAGAGACACATGGACAGGAGCTATAAGCCTTTGTGTGCTAAAACCTTCCTATAGCAATATGCTGATCAAGATTCTCAGTCATCCAGGTCATAGTCATTGTGTAAAAGTTTAAAAAACAATACACTGGACTTGGTTTCCAAGGTTTGAAGACATTTCGCTTCCCGTCCAGGAAGCTCACTCAATTCAAATGTCTGGATTCGCAGTGAGTCTATATAAAACCTCAAACTCACTGCGAATCGGAGGGACTTCCTATAGCAAATGTAACAGATTGCAAAGCACAGCTTTGCAATGAAAAAAATATCTTTATCTATCAGCAAAGTGTAAATAGCTACCCTTGATCTCAAAAGATATTCTTTTAAAGTTGATGTGATTTTTTTTTTTTTTTGTTAATAAGTACTTTCTTAAATAGGGAGAATAATACCTCTCATTGTGGGGTAAATATAGATACAAACTTAAATCACTCTTTTTTAACATATGTTTGTTTTTTAACATAAGACAATGAATGCTATTTTAAAAGACAGCAAATTTACTGTAGCGGTTGTTTTCACAGGTAAACCTATCATAGAAAACATCACAGATGCAATCTATGGCAGCAGGAAGACCATCTGTGTGATCAGCCGCCACTACCTCAAGAGTGAATGGTGCTCAAGTGAGATTCAAATGGCAAGGTTAGGCTACTGCCTTCAGATAACATTTATATGTTTAAAAAAGTGCACATTCCTGTTTTTCAACAAAACTCTTAGAAATGACTACTTCAGGTTTTAAAAACACTGCCTTGGGGTCAGTGACATAAATTCTGATGGTATGAGGGTGCACTTTTCAAAATACATGGCAGCAAAAAGACAACATTTTGTAAAGACATTGAAGCTCTAGACATGAACAGCAAAGTTAAAGCTTGGGCCTGATTTTTTTTTTTCCATCAAAGTTCATGTTATTGGGAGTTCATATAATGAAAGCCTTATTTCACTACTAAGGAGGTAAGTTGACATAAAAAGGCAAACACAAGGAGGACAGCCTAAAGTGCTGATTGGGGTGATTTGACTTAGTCATTGTCACTCTATAATCTTTAGAGTTTGCAAGTGGAAGATTTGCTGGGATCCCTTGTCCTTTATGCTTCTGCTAAAAATCACAAACCAATTGCAAGTCAGTCTTCTTTAGGATTTTATAGAGCAGTTTTGATTTCACTGACTGTACTAAGCTGCCTTGCCTAAGAAAAATTAATACATCTGTTTTGTCAGAATCAGAATTATGGTGCAGACAAGTTAGATATGTATACAGAATACAAAATCTATAGTTATATACAATATAAAACATACAATACACTATGTACAATATATTGGTGTAGCTTCTAAGTCCTGAACAGGGGAGGGAGAGAGGCAGTGTCAGTGTCACGGGGGTCTCTGGGCCTTGTTGATAAGGCCGGTAGTGGATGGAGAAAAACTGTTTTTGTGGTCAACAGAAGTGTTAGCTTTGCATATCCGCCTTAAAGGCGTTTTTATTCAAGTGTTTGATGATTTTGGCCTCAGTTTTGGTCAACATTAATCAGTGCATTAAGACATTGCTCTGGGTTCTTTGGTGACCTCTTCACTTAGTTGATGTAGGCTTGGAGTTATCATGACAGGTCAGCCACTTTTCACATGGTTTGCCCCTTTTTCATGTTTCTTCCATTAATAATTATATGTTTATGTATATAATATATTGATACTGTGTCCTCTTATTGTTGCAAAGCCATAGAAAAAACTCAGGAACTGTGTACCCTCTATAGACTGATAGATTTCAACAACTTGGTAACATGCATAAAGAAAACATCTGTCAGAGGTTTTCTGTTTAGAGGTCTTACATTATAAAAAAAACTATAAGCATTGAGTCATCTGTAGTACAAATAAAGTTTCTCTTTCTTCCAATTCAAGTTTTCGACTGTTTGATGAGCAGAAGAATGTGCTGATCCTGCTGTTTTTGGAGGACATCCCTTCTAATCATCTGTCTCTGTATTATGGTGTGAGACAGCTGGTAAAGAAATGCACCTACCTAAGCTGGCCTAAGACTGTGCAGCACCCAGGAGTCTTCTGGCAGAACGTCATGAGAGCGCTGCAAGCAGGGGACAGGGTTACCTAGGGCTCAGATTTGCTGCGTAGACCGACGATTTGCTAAGAACAGCAGCAAACCTGAAAGGTTATTAAAAGCCAATCGTAATAGTTTGCAGCAAAAAAAAAAAAGATTTTCATAGTGAGAGATCAAGAGAAGAAGGTTGTTTTGCTTTGATATATATATGGAAGAACCACAAGGTAAAATTCACATTTAAATGAAAAAATGCTTTGATCTAATTATAACTTCAATTGAAAATATTCAACAGGTTTGGCTTAACAAGGAAGTGCAGAACATCTTGCTTTTTGTCATTGAACAGCAGTTAATTATTGACTTGGGCATAATTTAGGCTAATTTGACCGAAATCTATGTACAATTTAGTAAAGATTTGTGTCATCTTGTTTAAATGTTTTTTTTTCTTTTTCTCATGTTTATATAATGTGTACTATATATAATTATTCTACATGATTTGTTAAGCTTTTGAGCATCCATTCTGACTATTCTACTCTTTCAAGGAACAGAATTTTGCATTTTCTAATAAACAGATGATATTTCATGGATATTATGAAATCATTCATGTCAATATCAAAACTTTTTTAAAGTACCAAGTTTTCTAAGTTTTTGTGTACTTATTTTCTTAATGTAATGTTTTGAAAGAAATGTAGTGTTAAAATAAAAAATGACTGCAAACCATTCATTTGGTTTTTCTAACCGGTTCCTTGAGTCCCACTAGACAGACCTGCTACTTTCTGATTTATGATCTCTGTGTCCTAAACAGTTTTCCATAGATTTCATGAAACCTGAAAAACTATTTTAAATTTTTACTTTCATTTTAAATCATATTAAAAAAGCTTCCCGATTTACACAAAACAACCTGAGAATTTAAAGTGTCATTAAGTAGTAAACCGTAAGTAGGTAATTTAAGCAGTTCATTTTGTTATTAAGGCATATTTACAAAATAAATGAACACTAAACAGATCTTCTTTTTTAAATTTTTTTATAGAGTGATTATCCTTTTCACACATTTTCATTTGGTAAATATAACAAAAAGTTCACTTTTTCAATGTAAACAATACAGAGGACACTATTGTAGAATTCGGGAGATAGCTACAATATTTCTTGACTTAGACAACTTTTATTGTCATTTTGTATATACAGATTGTATACAAAACAAAATTTTTGATGACATTTCCATTTCTTAAAGTGCAGCAGTGATCAAAAGTAAACAGTGTGGGGGAAAAAACACAAAACGCATTGACATGGAAGTTCAGAGCATTAAATATATATGTTGCAAATATGCAGTGTTGTGGTTTGGTGTTGTCAGTGTGATGCAGAGTCTGTGACATGATTTAGAGTTTTCTCATCAGTTCAAATGTTTAATGGCGGTGGGGAAGAAGTTTCAAAATCTGCTGGACCTGCATCGAATGCTGCGAGGCCTCTTCCCAGAGGGCAGCAGGGAGAACAGTCCATGGTGGGGGTGTGAGGGAATGATGATGTTCCGGGCTCTGGGCACGCGGCGCTGGGACGCTACAGCCTCATAGATATAGCTGGTCAGAACTCTCTCTATGGAGCTTCTGTAGAAGGTTGTGAGGATGGGTGGGGAAGTTTGGCTCTCCTAATCCTCCACAGGAAGTACATGTGCTTTTGCGCCCTTTTGAGCAGTGAGATTTGTGCTTCTGTTGCCATCTGCATCTAAATTTAATCTGCCTTCTTATCTATGCATTTGGGTTTTCAACTGACTTCTACCAAACCTGACACTGTCAGGTGGCCAGTGCATTGCATCCAATTTTATATATGAACTGAAATAAAATCTTAAAGGCATTCAACTGAATTAGGACCATAAAAGTCTTAGGACCAAAATAAGTCACTGCTGCAAAAATCTACCTATAAATGGATAAAGATTTTAGTGTGTGACAATCCATTAATAAGATGTTTAAACATAAAATAATTTTTGTGAGAAAAATGATCTGAATCACTGTCATTTACTGATACATTACTTTTTCAGGTTAGGTATGTCAAAGTGAGTGAAACTTTGATAATCAGCATATCACAACATGACATTTGTTACTCCAAGTCAACATACAACATTTTATCGGCCTAACCCAAGATTCAGCAAGCCGACCTACTGGACACAGGGGAAAATAGTGATTTGCCTAGTAATATTTACATGTAATGGTGCTGATTTACTCAGTCTTTTACTGCACTGATCAGTAATGATTTGTTGCTTTATTTTAAGACAGTGATGATTCAGTTGCACAATTTAAGTGCTGATTCATTTAGACTGGTGCTGAGTGGAGTTTCACTGTCTGGCTCACCTATTGTACGAATCGCGCTGTTTTGCTTGTCCTTAAGCTAAAGCTGTGTGCTAGAACAAGTCAGTGGAGGAACAAATAATGCCCTGATTCGTGCAGTGAGTGAATCACACTGAAACCAATGCTGTGTCACTTACTATTACACGACTCCAATTAAATGAGATGGATAGACATGGTCTGGAATAGAAAATAGAATGATTCATGCTATAGATATCTGGAAATGTATCTTTAAGATCTGAAATTCGATTGTCATTTTCACTTGAGTTAACAAAATTGCAGTTGCCAGATGTTAAAAATAAGATCATTTGAGAAAAAAATCTTTGTGATCTTTGTTACATTGTTACCTGTAAGGAATGTAAAAGGCTGAAGTTTTTATGATTAGCACACCTAATGTCAATAAACCTATGCTTATTGCTTGTTTTAAATTTAAAGCAACAGAAAATAGTTTAAGCTCAGTGGCACATTCAGTTTGCCTGAAGAAACTAAGCTTATTGCCCAGTTTAACTGTAAAACCAAAAATTTAGTTTTAATGATTTGATAAATGAATCTTTACACACAAAATTTTTTTTTTAGTTCATTCAAGTAATCCAGCTCAGATGCCACACTAATAACTCCACGGCCCATCACTACATTGATTCAGTGAGTCGTTAAGATGAAAGATGGTTTGTGATACATAAAATACTAAATTTAATTAAACAGAGTTTTTAAATATAATGCCAATTTCCAACACATCATCTCAATACACTTTACAGAGACTATTCAATCAGATCATAAAATCTGATTGGAATAAAGTTTCTAAGAAAAAACAACAAAAATCAACAAAGTTACCTTTACTATAGCTTTTGTATCTTTATCTTCCTCATCTCTGAATTATGGATGCTTTGCATATATTTCAGTTGAAAAACAATTGCTTCACAAACTCATACATAGGTAGGAAGTTTGTATTTTTACCAACTCATGTTGGCCAAGTTTTTTTTTTTTTTTTTTTTTTGAGGAACTAATCAATACAATTAAGAGAAAACCACAGACAGAACAATGAAGCACATTAATATATGGTGCATTTAAATCTTGTGTTTTAAATTAAAGGGGAAGCCAGGGCATATCACATGATATGTTGCAGTACTAGGTGATAACTACCATGCTAATTGTGAAAGAAATTAAAATCATAACCTTATTAATGTAGATTTGGATGTGGCTGGTATGTGTAAAGCAAAGATTGAACACTTGAAATTTTGAGAGATTAGATGAACTGAGATTTAACAAATTCAGCCCCAGATTCTCCACAACTGCCATACATTTTTCTTTTAGATAACTATTAGAAACCTTGATAAAGGTTACATTTACACTCGGGATAATGCTAGATAAACAGCCAGTTTGAGAAACATCTATTCATGTTATAATATGATGCTCACATTTTGTCTTAAAACAGTAAATATAGCTCAGGATACCTCATAAGATGTGCTAAGGTGGTAAACAGATTTGCTGCCCCTCTTAAGTTATTCATTTTTTTTACTCCTCATCAAATACTTTATCAGATCCAAGTCACTGATGACACCACACCTTGAAAATTTTGTTCTGCATTATTTTGTACTTAAATCAAAAGTAGACAACAATAATGCTTTAAGACATGAGGGAAAAAATAACACCATAATGTATTTTAGTTTTAACCATATTTTAACCAATATTTATTACTGAAATCTGCCAATGAAATACCAGATTGTCCCGAGGGGAACAACATAGCTGATCCGTTTTAAAGACAAAGGAACTTATTTCATAAAACACCTCAAGCCATGTACTTTCATGTGACAATACATTTTTTGTTAAAATGCCTTCTATGTGTTGACCCCAAAAAACTGAAGTAATTACAATGATGAGGAACAAGACGACAACGGCTTTTAGGGTTTTTTTCCAAGTTCAAAACAACTGAACTTAGGACATCACTGATCAAACTGGCTTGGAAGAAGATGCAGATCTGATGTCCTACAGTAAGTATTGGAAACATTTGCTTATCTGTTAATGCATACTTTTTCAAAGACTCCTACAGCTTCTTCATTAAGTTAGTTTCTCTCCAACACTAATTGTAAGCAACTGAAGATATACAGATTAGATGATTTAATAAACTGCAATGATTCTGTGTTTGAAATAATTTAAACAAAATATTTCTTCCTACTTTTCTTGTCCTTCAGTAACATTATTTTGCCCTTTCACCCTGCAGTGTTTGATTACAGTTAATTTACCAATTATGTCTGAATAGATTTTTTTCTGATATGCTTACCCATCTTGAATAGACCTGAGGGGGTTTCTGTCCCCTGGCAAAGTTGACGGGATTGACAGAATTAAAGAATGAAGTCTTCTTTGAAATGTCATAAAATTCTATTGTTAACCCTTGTATGGAAAGCTTTTAATTAGAAACTTTTAAAAGCTAAATTATTTCCCCTCCTGGTGGATTTAAATTATTATTTTAACTGAAACATTTTTCAAGTTTTTCTTTTTTTTCATGGAAACCTGGTACCTTTTGAAAGATAAGAAAATATTGTAAAAAAAAACAAAAAAAAACAATACAGTTAAACATAGAATTTATTGATTTTCTTATTCTATTTTAATTCAAAAATAGAATGAGGGAAATAATTTATGTCCTTCTTTATTATCAATAGAAACACTGTTTATGAAGGAATGCCTTAACACAACACGAAACATATTATTACAGCAACTAAACTATATTTATGATTACCAAGTAGCTTAAATAGCATGTTTCCACTCTTCACAGTTCCATTCCGTGCTACTGCCCAATAACTTTTGACCTGGAAAGTAGACCTTATTGTGAGACAAAAAGTCTTCATCACATAAATTTATATTCGCTAATGAATTCAATATTTATTGTTACAAATTTTTTTTATATCCTACCATGGTGTTTCCAGTAATAAATTCACTAATGGTTGCCAAAATATTCCAGGGCAGTTTTGGCCAATATGCTAGATTTAATACAGTTACATACAAGTTAAACTACTATTGGCTTTTAGGACAAACTAAGCAGGGCTGTGTACAGATTTCCTTGGAAGCAAAATTAATTCTCACAAGATTTCAATCACAAACCTCTTAAAATAAACCTTGTCAGAGCCCAACTAGATCATTATGCTCGATATAGAAATGGTTCAGACAATACTATTTCTTTTTTTTTTTTACTGAGGAAAAGGACACGATTTGTGTCTTTGTGGATGGTAATATGTCTGTGCATTGCTCCTGACTGGATTTAGAAAGAGTTTGATTTATCAGTTAACTTCCCTACTTATGAAACTAATAAAGAATGTGATACATCTCAGCTGTTACTCCTGCTCTGATTGGCTAAAACCTCAACATTGGAGGCAGGTACACAATAAGCTTGAAGAATTGTACTGAATGGGATTCCCTTTTGCGAACACTTCCTGCATGAGGCTTTCCAGATTGATACCAATTAGAATTTGATTGAACTACATGTCTCAATCTGGTTTATGCCAGATTTATTGTATAATTACTATGTGATACCCTGTGAAATAACCCGTTTTTCTAAATGTTAAACCCAGTGTGATAACACTATATATATATACATCTATAAAAACACCCATGTAAACACCCTGTGCAATATAATCCTGCTATTGAAAAAAAGCTGGCTACTAGATATATCCCATGCACCTTTTTCTTTCTTTGGCATATTCTTCTTATCTTTTGACGATTTGAGCTGATGTAACGAGTACATTTCTCCACTGTAAGATCACTAAAGTCATTAAATCAATATAGATTCAAATCTTATCAGTTAAATCGATAGATATAGAATTTTTTTTCTAAATGTTTCAATCAGATCCAATCCCATCTAATCTCAAATTGGATATTTTCAGCTTTCAGCCAAATTTCATGACTGTGTTTTATGCAAAATATTGATACTACTAGTATGGACATCCAACAACAAATTAATCAGTCATTTTAGCTAATGGCAGCTGTAAGGATGATGGAAAAATCTTTTTTTTTTTATCCTGGTTGAATTTGTTGATCTTCAGGAATTTTATCAGAATTGATTTAGAATTGGAAAATCTTTTTATTAATTGTTTGTTTTTTTACACACCCCTAAAACTAAGCAGTAATATATATTAGCACTACTGCTTAAGGAAGAGTTATAAGAAGTGGAAAAAAGAGATGCTCCATGACATAGGCAGAGTCGATGAAACACAGATAGGCAATGCTTTTATTGAAAAGAAACTGACTGATCATAAATCATGGTGCTACACTTGTAATCCACACCACCTAAGAGCAGCAAGGAGCAGGTAGATCTATTCGTTAAAGGATGCTTCAGCCCCAGGCTGCCAGACACAAGGAATTACCCAAAGCCAGCCCTATGCCCTGTACAGAGTAGAGACTGACATTTTTTTGGGAATCCCACGGGTCACGGGATTCCCGTGGGATTCCCGTGGGATGGGAGTCAGTATTAGTAACGATCACGGGATTGGGATGGTACAGGATTAAACATTAACGGGAGCAGACGAGAGCGGGAGCAAACCAATAGTAACTTCCGCTCTGAGTTTTTCACCCGCGCTCAAAAACAACAAGAATGGGAGTTGTGCGGGAGCGGGAGTCATTCTGGATGGGAGCAGGATGGGAGTGGGAGTAATTTCACCAGGAGTGGGACGGGACAGGATTTAGATTTCTACTCTGGCCCGGGACGGGACACCATTTTTTTCTGTGGGAGTGGGACAGGACAGGAGTGAAAATCCACTCCCGTGTCAGTCTCTAGTACAGAGGTAGTTCATGGTAGACACACAGAAGTGGCAGCCCTCAGGACAGAAGCACAGAATAAGTTGTGGAGAAATGAACTACCCTGACCGGATTTAGTCAGACAGGCCAAGCCTGGAAACTGATCTCCATGTCTAATCCCCAGCAGCTAGACCATGCAACGCCAACATGGAGGACTCCCCTGCTCCCCTACCATTCCGTGCAGCCACCAGCTCAATGTAGCTATTGCTATTGGCATAGAAAGGCATGTCAAGTGATAGGGCTCTTTATAATAAAAACAGATTCTTCACCTAAAAGTCCAAAAGAGTATTCGTATTCCTTGAAATATGTTTAATTTAAAACAATCCAGCAGGGGATGAAAAGGAAAAGTTTTTACTTAACATCTCACAACCTTGGGGATCAACACCATGTTATGCAAGTCGTCTCAGTTCCACATAATCCTCTTCCTTTTTTGCTTATAGGTCCACTTCTTCTCTCTTTGCCTCTCCCGCTTCCCAAAACTCTGTGTCCTGCATTTTGAAATGTTCTGTCAATTTGATTGGCCTAGCTGGTTGGTAGTTAATTAGCCCCACCCACACCTCAACAGATGACTGTCTTAGACCATGTTCAGAAATTCACAGTGGATTAAAAACTTCTCTTTCAACCAAATTTTATGAATTAAGAAAATATTTTTATTTGATATATACTGTAGTATTCTATCTATCTACCTATATATATTTTTTTTTTATTTGAAAGACGAGTGAAATCATCTTAATTTACAGAAAAAAAGCCTGAAAACATCACCAACATTATTCTAGATGTAGCTAATCTATACAGTTATTTATGTTGTAGAGCAAGAAATCATTTACATAGTTTTGTCGTTTATTGAATATGACTGTATATATGTTATTAATGTGTTTTTATTTATGTCTTACGCAGATCACCAGTGAAACAGATACCACTTCAACAGCATCCTCACTACGCCATTAAGGATGTTCATTACGCATGGCCTGCCTTCACAATTTATTCCAATACTTCTTTGTTTATTATTTCCTACTGACCCTTCATTCGGATATACACTGAGAAATTGTACTATACTTTACAAGGAGAGCCCCTCTTCTGATGTTTACTTTGATTGTGCCTACCAGGAACTAGTGACCATTCCTACTAGCATTCCCAAAGATGCAGTTTCAGTCCAACTATCAAATAATTTGATTCAGAAAATTAACAAAGAGGATTTATCTGAGATGTCAAAGCTAAGAATTTTAAATCTGGGACACAATCAGATTTCCTCTGTGGAAGATGGTTCATTCAATGACTTAGTTTCACTTGAAACACTTACCATGGGCGATAACAAATTAGTCAACCTAGAGGCTAACATGTTCCAGGGGCTGTCCAACCTTACAGTGCTTGACCTCAGTAACAATTTAATTGAGTTCATTCACAACTGTTCCTTCCAGTTTCTGACCAGGTTACAAACTCTGGATTTGCAAAACAACTTCATTGGTCAAGTTATTTATATTCAGCCCATCCTACAGCTACCACAATTACAGATACTTAGCTTAAAAGGATATATGAATTTTACCTTTGAGACCAAAGACCTCACCCTAAACTTCTCCTCAAGTCTGAAAGAGTTTGCTATTTCTGGTTGTAACCTAAAAATGTTCAGTATCACAACTCCAGTTTTTCCTTACCTTGAAAAGATCAACCTTTCTGCTGCTGGACAATATGATGTCCTTAAATGGAACATACCTGACAAAACTATACTCAGACATGTAAACACACTGTTTCTTGTTGAACCTGTGCTTTCCTTTAAAGGAGTGCACAAGGTCCTAAAGAGCTTCCAGTCACTGAGACATCTCAGACTGCAATTCTTGCATGAGTGGATTAGGGATGGATTATTGTCCGCAGTTTGCAAAATACCAACTCTGAGGAAGCTTGATATTTACAGCATTCTACATGGTTCCACATCAAAACTTGCCCCATGCTCACAGCTTACAGAGCTTGATCTGTTTTTTACAGAAATAGATGAACTGTCAGAAGGCTCGGTACGATCAATGAGGCAACTGCGTTCCCTAAATGTGAGCACCAACCAGCTCAGCAAAGTGCCATATGACATAAGAAGCCTCTCTTCACTTCAAATCTTAAAATTAGATAACAATATTATTTCAGATTTGAATTGCGATGATTTTTTAAACACAACACAACTTATCGAGCTTTACCTTCACAGTAACCGCATTGGCAAACTTGAAAGATGCGTCTTAGAGAATCTTAATGAACTAAAGCTTCTAAATCTAAGTAACAATCAGCTGAAGGCTGTTGGAGAGACCTTTCAATTTTCCCTCTTTAACCTAGAGATCTTGGATATAAGTGACAACAAACTATCTTATATTGACTATGGTTATTTTCAAGCGTTGGGTAATCTAAAAGTTTTAAATGTGGTTACAGATACAATGGGGAGAGTGAAACATAGATCATTTCAGGAGCTGAAAAACCTGGAAACTCTTAATGTATCTCTTTTTCAAATTGAACCCACATTTAGGGGACTAAACCATTTGGAAAATATGACAATCCATTTATTTGCTGGTGATGAAACTCTTCAATCAAATGGGAATAGATTTTTTTTCAACATAAAGTCTTTGAAATCACTCAGTATGATCTGCAAAGGCAACAAATATCCCATTTTGTGCAGTTTACCAGTTAGACTGCTTAAGACTATGAAATATTTACAGGGTTTTAGGGCTGTGAATGTTAATTTAAAGGATCCAAATAATGACACATTTAGGTTCAACAAACACCTCGAGAGCTTGGCTCTAACAATGACTGATTTGTCAAATTTGGATTCTGACCTCTTTCACCCAATCCCACATCTAAAGACTCTTGATCTCTCAGAGACAAATATAAAGTCTTTGGATTTCTTGAAACTTGCCAATCTTTCTGCACTTAGATATCTGAAAATGACTGGCAATGATATCAATGTGATTGATGATGCAGTCTTCCAATTTCTCCCTTCTCTAACATACCTGAACCTTAGCAACAACCCATTCACATGCGACTGCTCGAACATAGGTTTCATTCAATGGTTAATGAACAACAAGCAAACACAGGTGGTAAACGCACATCAGTATAAATGTTCCTATCCATTAAACAAGCAGGGAAACTTATTGCTAGACTTTGACATCCAGTCTTGTTGGAAGGATTTCAGCTTTGTCTACTTCATTTCTAGCACTTCTCTGGTTGTTCTTACTCTTCTTACATCTTTTATATATAACTTCCTGAGATGGCATTTAATCTACACCTTCCACCTGTTCCTAGCCTATCTCTATGAGAACAAAAAAAAGAAGCAGAACAATCATAATTTTGACGCCTTTGTGTCGTACAACATCCATGATGAGCACTGGGTTTACAGAGAGTTGCTTCCAGTGTTGGAGGAAGAGCAGGGCTGGAAACTCTGTCTGCACCACAGAGACTTCCAACCAGGTAAACTTTGGTCTAAACTTACTTGTTTTTTTATATCAATAAAGCCTGAAATTACTAGGTTAAATATTGTTCTCATCAATCAGATTTATAAAAATTATCTATTTTGGAGCAACATGTTGAGCACTTACTACTTTCTATCTATCTTTCTAACTAATTTGTTCAATTCTGAGAGTTACTTTACACTATTATTTTTGTATAAAATAAAATACTTTAATATCCTTTAAGTAAAACAGTAATACATTTATTTTAGCAACACAATTGTACCACCAAAGTGTGTATACGGGAAAAAAAAAAAAAAGAAATACTAATGTCCGACATTTTCTGGTTCGCACAGGTAAACCTATCATCGAGAACATTACTGATGCCATTTATGGCAGCAGGAAGACTATCTGTGTCATCAGCCGAAACTACTTGCAGAGTGAATGGTGCTCCAGAGAGATCCAAATGGCAAGGTATCACTTTTATATACAATTCCATTCAATTCAAATAAATAAATATCTTTATGTGAATTAAAATTTTGAGAATGCAGTGGAAGTCTCCTCCTACTGTAGAATATAGATGTTGACCAACATTTTTCTGGAGTGTACAGCAACTTCTGGATTTATTGACAAAAGCCCCTTCGTAAAGTTAAAATATAAGAGCTGAAGTGTGCCCTACAGAAACAACAACCTTAGTACCGTAAATAAAACCCATAAAGAAGGCTGACAAATTTTAATTGGTGCACATTCTGACTAAGTGCAAAAAGTCATTCACTGATGTGGATATTCTTAATTAGGCTTTGGCAGTCATGGTGAAATCTGTAATTTGAGACCATAGGAATAAGGCCAAATATCTACCTTGGTCGGAACTACTGTAATCAGGCACCCTTGCAGGGAATCCTGAATGGTCAGGCCACCCATATGAATTTCAAAGAGATGTATTTGACCTTTACTCCAAAGAGTGAAAAAGAGGAGAAAAGATTAAACATTCCAACAAGAAGAAACCATCCAGAGGACTTATTAAACTTTATGATAGTGGGATTCTTTTTGAAAAAAAAAATGCAGTTTAGAGAAACTGCATTGTTTTATTATTTGAAATATTAATTAGTCATTCAGTCAATGAATGACAGTTTCCATATATCTTATCTAGTTCCTGCACAAATGGGAAAAAGCATAAATTAAGGTGTATCAACATGAGTTCTCCTCTGTATGTCTTCTTGTAGCTTTCGTCTCTTTGATGAGAAGAAGGATGTGCTGATTCTGCTGTTTTTGGAGGATATCCCTCCTCATCATCTCTCTCCATTTTACCGAATGAGGAAGCTGGTGAAGGAACGTACCTACCTTAGCTGGCCTCAGGCTGCACAACACCCAGGGGTTTTCTGGCAGAACGTCAGGAGAGCACTGCCGGCAGGAGATGCTGTCACTGAGAACACAGACCTGCTGACTGGACCAGAAGGACACAGAGATATCTAACAGAGCTGTAAAAAAGCTTAAAGGTATAGTGGAGGATGTTCTTTTTCCAGAAGGATCGTCAAAATAAGTGGTCCTAATAACTGTCAATCATTTTAGTAATATATTTACATAAGGCTGCCCTATGTGCTCGTACCCACTTTCACTTATCAGTGGTGAGTCTGACATAGTGGAAAAACTGCAAATTCTTTTTTGGAAAGTAAGCTTGTATTAGTGATGCAAACAGCAGCTTTTAAACAGAGTGTGCTCGAGGAGAAATGGGCTCATGCATGCTCTGGCACAGTTTTGTGTATGTGCATTTCGTTTTGAAAGTGGAGAGGGTGGGTCTTTTAAAAAATTCACGAAAATCCTCCACTATACCTTTAAAAGAGAACTATAAAGAATAGAAGAACTTACATGCATATAGACAAAAAATGTCTTTATGACATCTTTTCTAGGTTTCCTTTCCTTAGTTTTCCTTTGTTTCCCAAGATCATCTGCACTAACCACTAATTTTGATTTCTACAGGTCCGATAAATGTAGTGCTGATGTGCTAAAAATCTGATTGCTGTAAATGTGTTTTTTACATCCAGTTTCTACCCGTCTTAGACAGTTTTAGGCCATGTATGATTGTTATCCAATTTCAGGTGCATAGGCTCTTGAATATTTAATTTTCTCAAAATGTTCCATCATTCCTATGGTTTAGTGGTAAAAGACTGGCTGTAATCTAAGGGGATCTGTTTTAAATCCTGCTAGCATCAGAAAGGATATCTAGTGGAAAATTGTTCCAAATTTGTAACAAATCATAATAACTTGCTTGGAGCGACTTAAAAAGGAGGAGATTAAAGGTCACAAATGATCCTTTTCAGCCATCAGATATAAATAAAGATGTAAGAGATGTTATACTTATATTGTTCGAAATCTGGAGTTTTATTCACTTTTTTACTTCCAAGGTTTATTTTAAAACCAATTTATACACGTTAAAAAGAAATTAAGAAAACTTTTACTGTAAAACACAATTAGTTTATTTAAAGGATTATCATGAGTAGAGTTGGCTAAGTTAAGAATATCCTGATTTGGATAACATGGGTTTATTAATCATTTAATTTAAGAGCAGTGTTACAACATATAAGATGTTCCACTATATAAGAATAGAATAGAACAGAATTCAACTTTATTGTCACCACACTGTCACAAGTACAAAGCAACAAAATGAACTCTCTGCATTTAACCCATCGCCTTGGAGAGCAGTTGGCTGCCATTGTGCCAGAGTGGCAGACTGTTAAACTCAAAACCTCTGGAGTCCAAGTGCAATGCCCTAACCACTAGACTGACACTTCCCTAATATCGGCTTGCCTACATGGGACTCGAGCCCCTGACCCTGAGATTAAAAGTCTCATGCTCTACTAACTGAGTTAACCAGGCTCAAAAACTCATTGGTTTGTACTTGTGATCTACAAACTGACCTCATTCAGTGTGTCTATTTAAGATTAAATGACATGCTGCACTATAATAGAATATATTGCTTAGGGTGTATTGCTTGGACAGCACATTGCAATTGGTAAATCTGTCTTTAATAGAATTTGTGTTTTTACCTTGTCTGACCTTATCCAGCTTTTTTCTGTTTGATGAGCAAAGAATAAATTAATTCCTAAGTTTTTGGAGGAGATCTTTCATCACCTGTCTCCATTTTACCTCATGAGGAAGCTGAAGAGGAAATGTACCTACCTGAACGGACACATGGTTGTCCAACCCACAGGGGTATTTTGGCATAGAATCCATAGATTCCGATAGGATGCTGAAAATTATCACAGAACTCTAATTCTTAAAAAAAATTCGAAGAAGTGAAATCTTTAGAAAGAAAATTAATTTAATTAATATATATACTGTAACAATTTTGGTTCTTGAAGATACAGTAACTGAGCTAATTAGGATCTTCACCTTAGAGTGCCTCACTATCACTAAACGGAAAGACCAAAAAATTTGTATTTATATGCTTTTTTAATACATGTTTATTACGAATATATATTGTAGCATTTAAAAGTTGTTTTTTTTATGTTAATAGAAGTATAAATTTTTTTTCAAACTTTTTCAATTGTGTAAGAATTGCTGGATCAGGATGATTCAAAAATCCCAAATTACTGAAGCATTTAATATTGTTATTTATCCTTTTCTGGGATACAGGTACATATCAATATTTTGGAATTTGTCATTTAATGTCATTTAATTAAAAGTACCTTTGCAAAAAGGTATTACACTTACTTTTCATTGACCACATATTACTGTATTAAAATATATTTTATTTTTTTGAATCTGATGTGCTATTCTAATATCAAATGTACTTTTTTATATGTAATTGGAAAATCATTCTACTTAGCAAAAATAAAGACTTGAAAACATTTACTTGTGTTATTCTTTAAAATGTGTTTCAGCTATGTTTTAGTTGTTGAAATCAATATAAGATTTACTTGACATGAAAGCCATAGTTACATTAGGTTATCTCATTCCAATAATCAAATATACCAAAGCTGATTAAACATTTCCAGACAAACTAAAACAATTGATTAAAACTTTATTATGTTTAAAATCTGTTTATTGGGTCAGTTAAGAGTGCAACATATACTGTAAGGTTTCGAATCAGTTTTGATCTACATTTACTTTGAAATTAAATAAATATAAAGTATTCCAATTAGCATATAATTCAATTCAAATTCATAATTTTTGCTTACAGACAAGGCCAATAGAAGCGATTCCAATTTTTTTTTTTATTGAACACACAAATTTGGTAAAAGACAGTCAGAAATTTCTGTAAATAAAGACATTATTGTATGTAGGTTTGCATTACTGGAATGAGTCCAATCTCCACAGTTCCTGGTCATATCTTTATGAATTCCTTCAATGCTGGTTGGTATCTCCTCAATCTCTGTGTGTAAATAAGCAAAATTAAGCAAACCATTTTGTTAGTGATTTTATGCACAAGTAAAACTACACAGAAATATTACAAGACATCCCTGTGCATCTTGCAGAATCATACATTTATTAAACATGCAAGTCCTCCTCCTGGTTAGCTTTGTATTCTGTCCACTAGTCGGCAGTGTAGGGTTGCTTCTCATGCAGGGTAATGAAGCTTAAAGGGGAACACCGTTTTTTTTTTTTTTTTTTTTTTTTTTTTTTTTTTTTTTTTTTTTACGCTGGCCCCTTGATTTTATGTTATTACATGATGTTCTACTCACCCATATGAGTTTTGTGTCACTTGAAGCTGTCTGAAGATATTCCGCTTTGGAAAATCCTATGGTCAAACGACTTGAAGGCACGGAAGAGGACATACACAGTCCGCTTTGTTTTAAAAAATATATAAATATAAAACATATAACAGTGGATGTCTGGGGGATAGTGATTCGTCTACATATTATGAATGCTGGCGTACCATAAGAATAAATTATGAGCAGTTTTGTTTGTGCCTTTAACTCCTTGTCCATAGGAAGACGTTACTTGGATATAACAAAACCGAATATCTTCAGAACAGCTCCAAATGACATAAAACTTATATGAGTGAGTAGAACATGATGTAATAACATAAAATCAAGGGTGCCAATGTAAAAAAAAAAAAAAAAAGACTGTGTTCCCCTTTAAGTCATCATCTTACTTCAAAATGGTTAAACTTAGTTTTTGAAATACCTATTGTTTTGCATTTACTGATAACCTTGTGTTGCTGGAATCTATTTGTAATTTATTTTAGCATTATTTTTTACATTGGAGTTAGAGAATGTATTCTTTGATTTAATAAGGCTCTTAATTTAATTTTTAGGCAGCATATCACAAGCTGCTGGAGCCTGTTGTAGGACTAGTGGTGACAAGGACTGTGATGTCATTTTCCTGTAGGGCTTGGCACAACCACATACAGACATAAAGTTGATAGAGAATCACGGGGGTTATCGAGAGGAAGAAAAGAAACACTAAGCCAGCTAGAGGTGTCACGCATAATAACATTCCCCAGCATTTATATTCTAATTTATCAAGTTTAAACCAGCAATTGATGGACCAAAATTTGGTAAAGTAACACTACCTTATCAAAGTTTTTTTGTGTTACAGGAAGAAAATTAGTGGTCCAGATTAAGTAACGCAGCTTCCCTTTTGTTGGTTTTTAAAGAAGTGAGTCCTCAGTTTAGACACATTCGAATACAACTCTGCATATCAACTGTAAGTACTGGCAAGATGTTTTCTTTATCTAAGTTAGACTTAGACAACTTTTATTAGACAACTTTTATCATTTTCCTTTTGTCATTTTGTATACACAGTATACATAACAAATGGGTGTACAGGGCACACGGTGCTTACATGATCATTTATATAGATGGATATTTATATTTATATATATATTGTTTTGCACTGAGTGTGAAATGTAGAGAAACGAGTTATTGCTGTTGTAGTGTTGCATTGTAGCGTCTGGTTGCAGCAGGATGAGGTAGCGCACCTTATTACAAACATGGTGTGAAAGTCTTTCACTAAAGGAGCTGCTCAGCTCCTCTGCAGTCTGGTGCAGAGGGTGAGAGGTGTTTTCCGTGATGGTTAGGGTTAGGGTCCTCTCTGCCACTTCCTCCACTGAGTCCAGAGTGCAGCGGAGGACAGAAGCAGCCTTTCTTAGTAGTTTGTTTAGTCACATTCTGTCCCACTCTGTGCTGCCATGGGGCAATAAGAAAACAGCGTAGAGAAGGGCTGATGCCACCATAGAGTCATAGAAGGTTTAAAGCAGGGGCCTGCTCACTGCAAAGGACCTCAGCCTCTTTAGGAGGTGGAGGTGGCTCTGGACCTCCTTAAAGGAATAGTACACCCAAAACATGATTAGCCTTCATTTTCTACTCACCCCCATGCTGAACAACACTCTGGAGTACTTTTTTGATATCTCAAATGCATCTGGAGATCTGGGAGGCTTCTTGCTGTCTGCTGACATTCAAATAATGGAGGTTTATGGTGCCCGAGACCAGGGGCGTCTCTAGGTTTAAGAGACAAGGGTGGCTTAGCCCCTAGAAGATAATGCGCGCGCGTAGCGCGCGCCGAATTTTTTCAGTGCACCTGCTAAGGCGTTGTCTAAGACAAGGGTGTAACTTTGTGTTGAAAGTTGGTGGGGACGGCTCATAAGGAAAGGGAGCTACCTGCGCGACGCCTTTTTTTTTTTGTTGGAAAGGATAAAGCCAAAAAAATGCGAATAACATTTATCAATTTAATGCTTACAGTTGAAAACATAACTGTTACAATATTCACTTATATATTTTGTGCAAAAAATATCACATAAATCTAAACAGACAGTACAAATAAAAGAAATCAAATAAATATATAAATTTTGTAGAACATTTATTGACAGTCAATTTTGGGTCACTTTTTAAAATTAATTTACTTTTAAACCAGGACTCGGACAAGATCTTATGGGACCTTAAGCAGAATATGATTAAGCAACTCCGTCTTTCTGTCAAGAACATCCACTAGCAGGGTATCCAGGGGGGGATTTACCATTAGGCAATACTAGGCAGTTGCCCAGGGCCCCAAGTTCTGGGGGCCCCATAAAACTCTGTTTCCATGTATGGTTAATACAACTAATCCTTATTTGTGCACATTAATTATGTTTTTGATAAAAATCCTTTGGCTAAAATGCCATCAGAACGCTGATAAATAGAGAGGAAAAAGGGACAAGAAGAGAGGGACAAAACCTAGAACAAATAATGGATGTCTATTCTATTAACATTTCTCTATCTGTAGAATGGGTCTGTTTTATGGGTTTACTTCTCAGGGGGGCCCCCTGCCTGTCTTTGCCTAGGGCCCCAAATTTCCTAAATCCGCCCCTTAGGGTATCAATACTGATTTGATAGAATCTGGGAGAGCGGACTATGTTCAACCATCCATTTTCTTTAACCTTATCCCTCAGTGGGATCAGGAGGTGCTGGTGCATATCTCCAGCCAGGTTCTGGGTGAGAGGTGGGATCACCCTGGACAGGTCACCAGTCTGTCGCAGTATGTTCAACCAGCTTAAAAGTAATCGGTAATCAGATTTATTATTTGCACTTTTACTAAGTGAACTTTCTAACTCCCTTAAATCTGAAATTCCAATGCCAAAATTGTTTAAAGCTTTTATCTTTGGACCCCCCTGCAGAGTGACGTCACACCTGCAAGATCCTATCCTTACCTTCCTGCTAGATTGCAAAAAGCAGCTTGCTCATGAGTTGTCAACTTAACACGCTAAATCTTAAATGTACGTGGACATATAAAAGAAAAAGGGGCGCAGTGCTTGCTACTGAATGGCAACACTATCAAAGTCAGGAAAAAGTTTTAAGTAAAGCCGGGATTAAAACAGTAGCTACAAGAAGCTTCAAATAAAAGGTGTTCTTTATGTTCAACCTAAACACCAACTCCGATAGACCATCAGTAGAGCAGGTGTTTAAATTAATCAATCACTGCTGCGAAAGCTTATAGCAGTGAAAGCTAATATACCACAGCCATCACTTAATAAACGCAAAATAAACAACCCTCTAAAAACGGAAAACTGTAATGGACTGAAAGTCCTGTTTTTATGTGGGAAATTATTTGCGTGTGTTTTAGTATAATTCTGATATATTGGCGCTGCTGTCTGTTTCTATGGCAACGATACTGAATGTAGTGTAGCTTAGAGACCTGCATGGGTCGAGTTTTACCAACCCGCACCCGCCCGAACCCGTTAGGATGACGACCGAACCCGACCCGTCACCCGCGGATATCTTCAATTCAAATGTTATGGGGAGAGGTTGGAGGGGGGTGATGGGGAGAAAGCGAGAGGCAACAGATTATTTTTTCTGAGTTTTTTTGTCGGGTTTTGTGGACGGTGAGCAGCGGGGAGAACTTTTTTTTTTATTTTCTTTCTGAGGAGCGGCATGAATGGGTTTTTTTAATCAGATATACACAGCACCGAAAGCAAAATACGTGTACAAAATATTGGTGGGGACATGTCCACACCAGTCCTTAAGGAAGTTACGCCTATGATTGTTCAGATTAACTTGTCTTCTTTAT